ATCAGTCATTCTTGGCGAAAAGACAGATCAGTGTGGTCTGAAAGTATCACACATGAAATGAGCCCAGGTGCATCTTTTGTCGCTTAGCAGACCACCTTCAACAAAATATTTTAGTGTACATAAAATGGAAATTATCCATGGCAGTTAATGTTGCTGTGTGCGTTTTGTGCTTGAAAGACTGCATGAGATAAGTCCGATATCTTTTTACAATTTCTGATACAACATATATATACATATAGTGAAGAAATATATATTACCCTACAATGTATATGTTGCCATGTAATATATAAGCGCACAAATAAATATATATATATGTATATTATACAGCAACATATACGGTGACGTGACACATACATATATCATGCTAGCCATAATGAGCTTCTCAGCATAAATGTATAAGTTTTAGTTCTACTGTGAGAAGGTGGGAAAGCTAAAACAAGAATGCATGAAAAATCCCACGAAACTTCATAACGCACTTATGAATACAAGAAATCGGAAAATATTTCTGCGGCTGAGAGAGGATCATGCACAACACTGCTGTACCCAACCCCGGACAGTGCAAGGCACGATCAGTGCCACCCTGTAACAAAACCCTATACATCGCTGCTATGTGGCACTGCCTCCTCCGGTAGCTATTCACCGATTTCCCTCTTCTTGCAGTCCCGGACGGGGAGTCGTACTAGGATTCTAGCGCAGTCATGTGTCATGTGTGTGCACGTGCAATTACGTACGCATGGTGGTGGGTACCGGTTGTGAGGATTTTTAACTCGTCGGGTGGTTATGATGCACTAAAATTTCAATTCGTAACCTACTTCAAGCTGCCGTGATGTAAATTTTAATGTATGTATCTAATTGGTCATGATTTCGAGTAAATCGAACTGCAAAAACACATCCCGAGCCAGGGAACTACCGCTGCAAAATTTTATACTTGTAGATTACCTAAAACTGTAATTTACCCAAGAATACTAGTAGTTATTAAATAGTATTAAGCTAAAAGACAAATACAGTAATAATAACGAAAGAGGAAAACGAATAATTCGAATGTACAATATTAATTTCATTACCCTAACGGCAAAATCAAAATAGTGACAAATGTAAATGCTAAAAAATAATGAAAAAAATTACTTCGTAGAGTGAAATGATTAATAAACAAAGAAAATAATCAATAAGTTCGATAACTATAATATTAATCTTCAGTTGATTTGAAATCCTAGATCAAGAAGAAGTGATATTCAAAAGCTAAATGCATTTGTTCACAGCAAA